GCAAGAAAGGAATGCAAGGACCTTTGCTGGAATATCTAGAACACAGAATTTGGTCTTTCATCAGATCGAATGTATCATCCGTTATAAGCTTGATTTGATGAGGAACGTCCTACCAACAGAAGAAAATAAAAGGATCCAATGAGCTTGGAGGGTCAATAACATAGATTCTTCATTTAATATTTAGCTGGTTGTATTGGTTTCCCTAACTAATCAAGTTAGGTCTTAAGTTTTCTGTTCGGTGGCTAGCCTGTAGCCATCTGTTGTTTTACGTTTCTGTTCTCATTGTAAATCTGGGGTATGCCCCTTATAATCTTTGTATTGTTTTCCTTTAATATATACGTCAACTTACCAAAAAAAAAGTATTTTTTGTAATGTTTATGCTGTGCTTTCATTAATATCAAGTTTATGCATTTCATTTCCTTTCATTTACTTAGTTAACTTTTATCTTATTTATGTTCTTATTTTGTTTATTTATTTTTCTTTCTTTCATTATGTCTAGTTAAGTTTATTATATTAAGGTGAAAAGGTTACACTAATGGTGTAAGAATATGTATAGTGTAAACTTAATATGGACTTTAATGTTTGATACTAACATTTTTGTATTTGTTATCTTGTTCACTCTTTAATACTTTGCTTGTTAAATGACTAATCTTGATTTATGTTGTATAACACTTGGTACAACAAATGCTTGACACTTTCATAGCCCATACTGTATGCTATAACCGACACCTCAACTATGAAAGGAACTTGATTTGTTGTTAACATAAGTTATAATCATGAATGCTTGACGAGATTTACAAGTATTAGCATTAATCGAATAAGATGACTAATATAATCATGTTAACAATTTATAATCAGATTGGAAGTTTCTTTGTGTGTGGTTTCCAATTGAATAATAAAAGTTTATACTATACTTGTTTGACATACCATTAATGGATCCTCTAACCTTGACATTTGTTATTATCATTGTTTAATCCTTACATTAATATTCCATCTCCAAGTTCTCATCTTCTTCTTCTTCTTCTCTTCTCTTTCTCTATTATTATTATTAAAGTTATTATTGTTATTGATGCGGATCAGCCTAACACCAAGCGTAATCATGCCAACAACCCATTGGAGGTGCCAATTGGGCCAATCACAAGAGCTAGGGCTAAAAAGCTTAAAGAAGCATTGAATGGGTTTGTTCAGAACATATGGAACAAAATGGACCTAGAGGGGCTTGGGACATTTAAGGAGTATGAAGGACAACCTTTAATTCAATTAGTTCAGGTCCAAGAAGAGCCCAATTCATGTGGAATAAGGGCATGTGTCCGGCCCAATATCAGCCTTGTTAGGCTTGTCTTTGACCAGCCTTGTTAGGCTTGTCTTTTCTAATACTACAAGGATAAAGAGTCAGCAATTTATTCTCCTAACTAAGTAAGGAAGTTGGCCATATCTTATTCCTAAAGAGGAGAGGACTATTTAATGCTTTTCCTCACTTAGGAAGGAAAGTAATTAAATCAACAACAAAGGAGGAAATTTGTTTTCTTATTTGTCCAAGTTAAACAAGGAATTCCAAGCTAATCAAGGACATCAAAGGGGGCAGCAACATAAATTTGCTAAATTAAAGGGGGCAGCAACACAAATTTTCCAAATCAGATTTTTCCAATTTTGTTTGGGACTTCTTAAGGGTGACAAATCTGATTCTAGCTTATTTAGGATGATATTTTTGCATTTTTAGAATTTTCTTCTTAGTTTTTGGGTTATTATTACTTATTTGGGTCAATTGTAAGTGGGCTTCATATAAGTCCACATAAGGGCGGTCCATTAGGGTTTCTTTAAGTTCAAATTCAGTATAAATAAAGGCATAACCCAAACATGTAAAGGTTACACAATTTTCAGATCAACCAATGCCCTAGCTTCAAACATCAACTAAACATCAATTACTACAGGATCCACCATAGAAAATAAAGGTAAACAACTTCAAGTTCTTGCATCTAGGAAAAGAAATGTTGATGATAAAAAAAAGTCACAAATTTGGGATCATTTTACAAAACTTGATGGTGATTCTACAACCCTTAGAGTTGAATATAATTATTGTGGAAAGGATTATGCATGTCATACTATTATTAATGAGACAAGTAATAACTAGAGTCATTTGAAAGTATGCAAAAAGTTTTCTTTTGTGGTTGATAAGAAGCAAAAAAATTTGGTATTAGAACCTAATAAAGTAGGGGGTGAATTAGGAGATCGAAGTATGGGAACTCTTAAGGCAATAGGTTATGATTATGATGAGTGTAGAAAGGCACTAGTGAAAATAGTTATAATTGATGAGTTGGCTTTTAATTTTGTGGAGGGTAAGGGATTTAGATTATTTTTTAGGACCTTGCAGCCTAGATTTGACATTCCTTCTCGTTTCACTGTTATGAGAGATTGTTTGAAACTTTATATTAAAGAGAAAGAAAGATTAAAGAGAGCTCTTAAGGGTCAACGGTTATGCTTAACAACAGATACATGGACATCAATCCAAAACATTAACTATATATCTTTAACGGTTCATTGGATTGATAATGAATGGAATTTGCATAAAAGAATTCTGAATTTTTATGATGCGAACCTCGTGATCACATGGTCACGCAACCCACACGCAAAGATGCCAATTCCAGGAAAGCCAAGAAAATCAGGTTTGATAGGAGTGTGACACAGAGATAACTTGTACCTAGGCACCAGAACTATTGAAAACGGAAACCCCCACCCAACGAATATTGATTCGCGAACGAGAAGTATAAGGATGACGCCACGAAGACAGTTGTTCTTCGATAAGTCGTTTTCAGTTCTTTAGAGAACCAGGGAAGGGAGATTATCTCACCAACACACATACACACAAAGTGCGGCAAACAAGAAGTTTTATTTATCTGAATAGCCTTCCCTACATGTTTGGTTATGCCTCTATTTATAACGATTCTAGACTTAAAGAAACCCTAATGGACCCCCCTTAGGTGGACTTATATGTAGCCCACTTACAATTGACCCAAATGAGTAATAATAACCCAAAGACTAAGAAGAAAATAATAAAAATATAAAAACCCGAAAATTACTATCTTAAATATGCTAGAATCAGATTTGTCACCATTAAGAAGTCCCAAATAGACTAGGAAATCTGATCTGAAGGTAGAATGTATTCTAAAGTCTTCTTTCCTTTTGTAGCTCGGATGAATAAAGAATCCTTGTAAGAAAAGAATTCTGAAATAATTATGAATCCTTGCCACACTTGGAAACTATGTTGCAGCCCATTAAACATCCTTGTAGAATTAGTATATTTCCAAAATAAGCTGCCACATCCCTTTAGGAAAAGAATCCTAGCCAAATAGGAAGTCCACAAGTCAAAAGGAAGTAAATAACAAAATTCGTACAGCCTCTGTTGACCCTTATTAAGATACCTTCCTGAACTTCGATTGACTTGAAATTTTAACCCAAGGTAATATAATATGTCAGGAGACTCCACGTAAAATTGCAGCTCGATCCAACGGTCGGATTGAGAATTATGATTGTTTCCGTAAAACTGGATAGTTGCACATTTTACATCAAAATCCAAATTTGACCTTGATTGGATCGTATCATTTTATCAAGTTTCCAATCATATCGGTGAGATAATTGGTCAAGTTATTGAGAATTGTTTGTTAGATTGGGGGATTGATAAACTTAGTAGACAATGCAAGCTCTAATAGTATTACTATTTAATATTTAAAGAATGTGTTGAAAGATTGGCCAATTAATATATTATCAAATGAATATTTGCATGTTAGATGTTGTGCACACATTGTAAACCTTATTGCATGTGATGGTTTGAAAGAGATGAATGTTTCGGTTGTTAAGTTTTGAAATGCAATTAGGTTTATGAGATCTTCACCCTCTAGGCTACTTGCATTTAAGAAGTGTGAAAAAAAGTTACATGTAGAGTGTAAAAAATCATTATGTTTGAATGTTGCAACTCGATGGAATTCAACTTATCTTATGTTGAAAAGTTTGAAAAGGTGTTTGTGAGGTTAGGTCAAAGTGAACCTAGGTATGTGAGTTACTTTTTAGAGGTTGATTCAAAGGGGAAAAAAAAAACATAAGGCCACCTAGTTTGGAGAATTAGGAAAATACTAGAACTTTGCTGAAGTTTTTAAAGATCTTTTACATGGTTACATTGAAATTTTCTAGCTCATTGCATGTGACATCAAATTCTTTCTTCAATGAATTGATTTACATTACTTGCTGCAATTGTGTAAAAGTAGAGATAATCTTTTTAGTGGAATGACAATGAACATGATGAGTAAGTTTGAGAAGTATTAGAGTTGTGGAGCAAATCAGAATTTTTTATTATACATGGTTAATATTTTGGATCCACATCTTAAGTTGAAGTAAGTGAAATTTTGTTTTGGTGAGTTGTATAATTATGACAAAGCACAATTGCTAATAAAAAAAGTGAGAGATAATTTGATGAGCTTGTATGAGTTTTATTTGAAAGCCGATACAGAGGTGAATGATAATAGGCATAAATAAGATATTAATGATGCTATTGATGACATAGAGGTAGATGTTAACACTTTAGCTAAGTTCAAAAGGCACTTACCTGAGGAAGATAGTGTGGAAAATAGAAATGAGGTTCAGAGGTATTTGGTTGATGGTTGTAAAGATCCTAATGATCATAAATTAGATATTTTGGGTTGGTGGAAGATTAATGCTTCAAAATATAAGATACTTTCAAAAGTTGCACAACATGTTCTAGTTATTTCTATATACACAGTGGCTTCCGAATCAGCCTTTAGCATAGATGGTCGTATACTCGACCAATTTTGAAGTTCTCTATCTCTAGAAACAGTTCAAACACATATTTGTTGTCAAAATTGATTGCATCATGCTCCAATTCCAGCTGATAATACAACCTTGATGAATAATTTTGAAATCTACAAAAACCTTGAATCAGGCAATGTTTCTTAAAAACTTACACCTTTTATTTTATAATTTATTAATTGACACAAATTTTATTCCATAGAATTTATTAAAAACGTATGGTATAAATATCTTTTTTTATTTATTTTTATATCTTCTGATTTAATTTATCATGTTATAATTCTAGATTATGAATTTCAGGAATCAAAGTGCAATGCTCTTGAAGTGCTTTTTTATTAAGACGATGTGCACATGAAAATTTATTTTTTGTGGCTTGGAGTGTTTTATGATAATGTTATTTGTTGTTTTTTCATTAAACCTTTTAAAGGCAATGGTTTGTAATTTGGATTTTAACTTATTGATATGTGATTGTGAGTGTGTGTTATTTATTTAAACTTTTTGGAAGTAGAAAAATATTAGTAAGTTAAAAAATATATCAAACAAAAGATTGACATTAATAATTTTATATAAATGAATATTCATTGGCCAAAAATTTAATAAACATAAGATTGACAATAATAATTTAATACAATTGAATATTTAGGGGTAAAAAAATTAAATATATTTGGAATCTTCAAAGAAAATGAGACAATATTAATACTAATTGTAAGCCCGATAGAAATCTATTAAAAGCCCATTAAAAAGCCAAAATAAGCCTATAGGTCACATGGTCACACAATCCACACGCAAAGACACCAATTCCCAAAAAGCCAAGTAAATCAGATTTGATAGGAGTGTGACACAAAGATAACTTATACCTACGCACCAGCACTATTGAAAACAGAAAAACCCCCACCCAATGAATATTGATTCACGAATGAGAAGTATAATGATGACGCCACGAAGACAGTTGTTATTTGATAAGTCGTTTTTCAGTTCTTTAGAGAACCATGAAATAGAGATTATCTCACCAACACACACACACACACACACAAAGTGGGCAAATAAGAAGTTTTATTAATTTGAATTGTCTTCCTTACACGTTTGGTTTTGCCTCTATTTATAGTAACTCTAGGCTTAAAGAAACCCTAATGGACCCCCTTTAGATGGACATGTATGTAGCGCACTTACAACACTCAAATAAGTAATAATAACTCAAAGACTAAGAAGAAAATAATAAAAATTAAAAAATTATCTTCCTAAATATGCTAGAATTAGATTTGTCACCATTAAGAAGTCCCAAATAGACTATGAAATCTGATCTGAAGGTTAAATGTATTCTAAAGTCTTCTTTCCTTTTATAGTTAGGGTGAATAAGGAATCCTTGTAAGAAAAGGATTTTGAAATAATTATGAATCTCTGCCACACTTGAAAATTATGTTGCAGCCCATTAATATATCCTTGTAGAATATTTCCAAAATAAGATGTCATATCCTTTTAGAAAAATAATCCTAGCCAAATAGAAAGTCCACAAGTCAAAAGGAAGTAAATAACAAAATTCATACAGCCTCTATTGACCCATATTGAGATGCCTTCCCGAACTCCAATTGACCTAAAATTTTAACCCTAGGTAAGAAAAGATGTCATGAGACTCCACGTAACATTTCAGCTTGATCCAACAGTCAGATTGAGAATTATGATTGTTGTTGTAAAACTGGATAGTTGCATATTTTACATCAAAATCCGAATTTGGCCTTGGATCGTATCACTAAAGAACCAAAAAATGACTTATCGAAGAATAACTGTCTTCGTGGAGTCATCCTTATACTTCTTGTTCGCGAATCAATATTCGTGGGGTAGGGGTGTTTCTGTTTCCAATAGTGTTGATGCCTAGATACAAGTTATCTTTGTGTCACACTCCTATCAAACCTCATTTACTTGGCTTTTCAGGAATTGGTGTCTTTGCGTGTGGGTTGCATGACCATGTGATCACGAGGTTCGCATCAAAGACTCTTTGGAGGAAGCTTGGAACGAAGTTACTTTTTAGCACGGCATGTCATCCACAAATTGATGGACAAACTAAGGTAGTAAACCAAACTTTATGTTCTTTGTTACGAGTTGTTATACATAAGAATTTGAAGATTTGGGAAACTTGTTTCCCTATTATGGAGTTTGCATATAATCGTAGTGTGCATAGGGCTACAAAATTTTCACCATTTGAGGTTGTGTATGGCTTTAATCCTTGTGCTCCTATTGATCTTGTTCATATTCCAGTTGATGAGAGGACATCTATGGATGGAATTAGAAAAGTAGAATTGATCAAGAAATTACATGAGCAGGTTCGATTACATATTGAGGAGAAAACGATAAACTATGCTAAACAAGCTAACAAGGGGCGGAAAATGGTTATGTTTGAACCTGGAGATCTTGTTTAGATTCATCTTAGTAAGGGTAGATTTCCAAGCAAACGTAAGTCCAAGTTGATGCCAAGAGCTGATGGTCCCTTTCGAATTATAGAGAAGGTGAATGATAATGTGTATAAGGTAGATCTTCCTGGTGATTACAATGTATCAGCTTCTTTTAATGTGAAAGACTTGACTCTATACTTGGATGATGATGACGATTCTGATTTGAGGAGAAATCATTAACCTGGGGTTGATGATGTGTATCATGGGAATGATAATCCATCTCATAAAGCTAAATTTAATATGCAAGAGGATTGAGAGGGTCTAATGACCATAGCGAGAGCAAAACAACTACAAAGGGCCTTAACGAGTCAAATTAGATTGATTGAAGCTGCGTCAGAGTTAAAAATTAGCAATCAGTTTGAACCGTTCAAGAGTACTTATTTGTCTACAATTGAAACATAGAGATGGGAAGAGCCTTCATGGTTCTTTTGATGCTGGGCTGCTTGAATTTAGGTTGATAATGCAAATAAGTTAAGGACTTGATGCTGTTTAGGGTTAGAACAATAAATGAATTTGAACCCGAATTTGAAGTCATCCATTGCATTTGAAAACAAGACTAGCCATTTCAAGTTCAGAACGTGATCTTCCAGATTGTCCAACCATGATTGCATTGGACTTTTGTGCAAGAAGTCATAGCCATTTTAAATTTGGTATGTTTATGTTTCGATTAAAGTAAAAAAATGTGTGCTAGTTTAATTTCTCTAGTTACTTTATCAAAGTCTAATATTTGGGTTTGAGTGTTGTCATGTTAAATTTTCCTAACTATGGAGAGATGTTCCAGTTATAAATATGGTATCAGAATATGTAATAAAGGACTTTTGACCAAGATTTGAAACTTAATTCAGAGAATTAAGACTTGTTCTTCCACATTGATTTGTAAAGAACCCTACCTGACTCATCACTCTTCAATTACAAAGAGTGTGGCAGCGAAATCCTAGATTAATCTTTATGGCATCCAGATCAACTTATCAAAGTATCACTCTAGTCTATCCTCCATCTTATTTACCTTAAAATCACTATAATCCAACCTAAACACCACAAGAAAGACAACCAATTAGACCTGATGCTGATCAGCCCAACGCCAAGCGTAATCATGCCAACAACCCATTGGAGGTGCCAATTGGACCAATCATAAGAGCTAGGGCAAAGAAGCTTAAAGAAGCATTGAATGGGCTTGTTCAAAATATATAGAGCAAAATGGACCTACAAGGGCTTGAGACATTTAAAGAGCATGAAGGACAGCCTTTAATTCATCTAGTTCAGGTCCAAGAAGAGCCTAATACGTATGGAACAAGGGGTTGATGTGTTCGGTCCAATACCATCCTTGTTAGGCTTTTTTTTTTTCTCCTAATACTACAAGGATAAAGAGTCAGCAATTTATTCTCCTAATTAAGTAAGGAAGTTGGCCATATCTTATTCCTAAAGAGGGGAGAACTATTTAATGCTTTTCCAAACTTAGAAAGGAAAGTAAACAAAGGAGGAAATTTGTGTTCTTATTTGTCCAAGTTGGGGTAGCAACACAAATTTTTCAAATCAGATTTTTCCAAGTTTGTTTAGGACTTCTTAAGGGTGACAAATCTGATTCTAGCTTATTTAAGATGATAATTTTCAGATTTTTAGTATTTTCTTCTTAGTTTTTAGGTTATTATTACTTATTTGGGTCAATTGTAAGTGGATTTCATATAGGTCCACCTAAGGGGGGTCCATTAGGGTTTCTTTAAGTATAAACTCAGTATAAATAAAGATATAACCAAACATGTAAGGTTACACAATTCAGATTAATGAAACTTTGGAAGACATACCTGATCTTAAGCCACTTTAGCCCCAGTGTCCGAATTGGTGTAACTACATCAAGCACAAGGGCTGTATCTACACCTACACGAACATGGAGCATACCTAAACGAGATGAGAAGGTGGAGTTTAGCAAGGGGAATACCTGATGCGAACCTCATGATCACATGGTCACGCAAAGACACCAATTCCCAAAAAGTTAAGTAAATCAGGTTTGATAGAAGTATGATACAAAAATAACATGTACCTATGCACCAGCATTATTGAAAACAGAAAAACCTAAAATTTAAAATGCCTTTCCAAACTCCGATTGACCCATATTTAGATGTCTTTCTAAACTTCAATTGATCTAAAATTTTAAATTAAGGTTGGTCAACTTGTCAAGAGACTCCACGAAAAATTTCAATTTGATCCAACGGTCTGATTGAGAATTATGATTGTTGCCGTAAAACTGAATAGCTACATATTTTACATCAAAATCCGAATTTAACCTTGCCTGGATCATATCAATACCAGTTCTGGGAAAGGAGAAGGTGACAGAACCTCAACATCCTAGGAGGTCTTGAGACATTATGATGCGGATCAGCCTAACACCAAGCGTAATCATGCCAACAACCCATTGGAGGTGCCAATTGGGCCAATCACAAGAGCTAGGGCTAAGAAGCTCAAAGAAGCATTGAATGGAATGATGCGAACCTCGTGATCACATGGTCACGCAACCCACACGCAAAGATGTCAATTCCCGGAAAGCCAAGTAAATCAAGTTTGATAGGAGTGACACAAAGATAACTTGTACCTAGGCACCAGCACTATTGAAAACGAAAACCCCCACCCAAAGAATATTGATTCGCGAACGAGAACTATAAGGATGACGCCACGAAGACAGTTGTTCTTCGATAAGTCATTTTCAGTTCTTTAGAAAACCAAGGAAGGAAGATTATCCCACCAACACACAATAAGTGCAGCAAAGAAGTTTTATTAATATGAAAATTGTGTAACCTTTACATGTTTGGGTTATGCCTTTATTTATACTGAATTTGAACTTAAAGAAACCCTAATGGACCTCCCTTAGGTGGACTTATATGAAGCCCACTTACAATTGACCCAAATAAGTAATAATAACCCAAAAACTAAGAAGAAATTTCTAAAAATACTAAAAATCCGAAAATACCATCCTAAATAAGCTAGAATCAGATTTGTCACCCTTAAGAAGTCCCAAACAAAATTGGAAAAATCTGATTTGGAAAATTTGTGTTGCTGCCCCCTTTGATGTCCTTGATTAGCTTGGAATT